ATGCAGAAGGCAGCCAATCAATTATTATCTCTCATCATTGATGTTTCTATCTCTCTCTCTATTTCCATTTCTCCCTGAAGTCAATAAAAAATAGTGTTTGCATGTTCATGAGGACAGTGAACTGAAAGAGCAGGAGTACTGCCAGTAGCTGAAACCAGACTCAACATTTGAGAACTTGAAGCAACCTTATAATGTAATGCCTACTCAGCCAAAATGGCCTTCTCTATTCCTTTCTCTGCCATTTGATTGATGGGGAAAGTGAGCACAGAGAGGGGCAATGACTTGCTTAATATTGCCCAGCACTAGCAGGGTCTTGAGTAGAAGCAGGTATGAACAGAAGCACAGTAGTGAGGTCATTATATTTTACCCCAAGGTGATATATACCTGTGTATAGATTTGCATGTCTGGCATAGGATGTGGGTATGAATGAGGTTAAAATTATGGGGAAGCTCAACTGTCCTGGCTTAGTGATTGAACGTTGACCTATGAACCAGGAAGTTACAGTTCAATTCCTGTCTAGGGCCTATGGCCAGGTTATGAGCATGATCCCCAGTGGGGAGAGTGCAGGATCAGTGATTCTCTTTCATTGTTGATGTTTATATCTCTCTCTCTCCCTTTCTCTCTGAAATCAATAAAAATATTTTTTAATTGTTAAAACAATAAAAATTTTAAAAATGATGGGGAAATGAAATTGTGTTGTACTGTGGAGATAGAACTGAAAATGTGAAATGTTTTTCCTCTTTCCAAAGCCTTACTCAATCCAAGCACACACACAAAAATAATACTCATTTCCTATTTATGGAACTGATTGGGGACTTTTGGCATGTGCATACTGGCCAGATTTCCCATACAGTAAGATACAAAACTTCAAGCATGTTTCAGACTTGCTTGCTAACAATTCAGTCACCCAGAAGGTCAAGAGATTGACTCAGGACTTTGTTATTCTGTACTTGTGTCTAACCAACAAAGACAAATTGGTTATAGAATTAAAAGTGTCAGGAACTTGGAAGAAAGAGTACATGTCAGTGTCATGTTTGTCAGAGCCAGGGAGAGTTAAGCATAATCAGACTTGCACAAGATTATAGAGAATAGTTTTTAAGAGATGCATGGTGGAGGAGGTGGTGTTGGGAAATGGCCCAATTTCATGCATCAACTGTGGAAAGGAAGATTATGCTAATGAGAATTAGAAAGTTCTCTCAAATGACCTAGTGGGGAAGAGAAGGTAGTAAGTAGAATAAACCATAGCAGCCACTCAGGATTCCCTTTGCCGTAATACACTTTAAACTTTATCTTTAAAGTCTAGATAGATAGATGATAGATAGATAGATAGATAGATAGATAGATAGATAGATAGTCATAAAATAGGTCAGTGGTCACCTTTGCAGGATGAAGTGACTCAGGGGAGCATGGATAAGCTTCTGAGATGCTGGCAATGTTGGGTGTTTACATCTAGGTGCTGGCCATCAATGTGCATTTACTTGTGAGAATTTAGCAAATAGTGTTTAAGATAATTAAAACCATCTACACACACGTTATACTTCAAACTGATTTGTGCAACAATTTTTAGGATTTAATATATTTCCATCAGAACTTATTTTTAATGCTTTTATCTGACTTTTCATTGTTAGAAAAATTGTCCCTCTCTTTATTCCTTATGTGTACTATTACATGTAATTGCATAGCCCTATAATCATCTTTGTTAACAACTTGGTAATACTCCACTGTGTGGGTAGGCCACAAATTCCTTTATCATGTCTGTAGGTATAGATAGATATGGTGCTCATCATTGTCATGTTTATAAAAACACCAGAACCAACATCTTTGAATATTGAAGTGATTCACTGAGAATAGGTTCTTAGAGGTAAAGAGATTAGATTGATTCTCTTTAAAGTCTAGATAACATAGTTACAAATCATCCCCAACAGTGTTGGCTCATCAAACCCTTGCCCACAGTTATATTCAGCAGTCATGCATCAAATTGGCAAATTTTCTAATGTAGTATTTACAAAATATTTTTTCTTTGTCTTAATATGAAGTGGGAGGTCCTGCTGACCATCTCTGGTCTCTTAGCACCCCTCCCATGAGACTCAACTTCTCAGTGATGATCATTGTGGTACATGACGATTAGCAGATCTTCAGTTCTCTGCAGTTGTATTTCCTTAACTATCTCAGGCTTCTGTTCACTGACCTTTAACCAATGAACAAAAATGGAAGCTAAGGAGATTTAAAGAAGTTTGCTTCTTCTCCAAGCATGAAGACAACAACAACAAAAAATACTAGTTTGATCACCTTTTTCATCACTTTTAAGTTTTAACTCATATGTGATGTAGTTTTTTTGGCATCATATGTAGAGAGTTCTATTCTATTTCTATATTTTTATCAGTCATTCTCCCTTTTCTCCATATTCCAAATGTGTTCATTAAAAAAAATTCTTGAAATATAACAAACTTCAAATATCATATGAATGCCTCAAATGAATACTTCATATATTAAAACCATAATGTGTCCTATTCTTTTCACAAATCTGCATATAAAATAAAACAATTTTTCATTTTAAAAAGAAACATTTTCTCTGTAAAAATAGAGAGAAAAGAAAACACTTGTCCCAAAAACAAGTCATGTCAACCCAACCTTCTTTCTTTAAGGGAGTTCATGGGCTGATAGATTAGAGAGATACTGTAGACAGGGAATCAGTGTCTAAGTAAATGTGACCCTATTCCCAAGTTATTTTGTGGGAAAATGTAGCACTAACACCTGAGTGACAAAGCACTTGGGGAGATGAGTAACTAGTTTGATACTGGTGAACAGATGAATGCCAACCTGGAACAAGTATTCTGGTACATGCCACAGAACTCTACCATTAGCCTTTTACAGGTGTCTACTTAATTAGTAACCTGGATGAAGTTCAAGAAAAATTATGCCCAAAACTTGCAGATAGTGGAGGATATGGTGATAGGTTGTAGAAATCCAATGAGTCAAGGAAGGTGGTAGGTGTTTATGACTGTACTTGAGTTTCAGAAATACAACCATATCTGTAGATGTAGAAGCAGGCAGATACATTTTGGTTGGGGGAGGGAGGAAGAAGTTGCAAATGGTTGGCACATTCACTGTGATCGATTATAAATTAGGATGTTGCTATGCTAATAGAAGCCCTGTAGAAGTAAGGAAAGTAGAAAAAAGAAAAAAGTGACTGACTAGGTGATCCTATGTTGACAAGACCACATGGAGACTATTGCTTACTTTTATAGTCATTTCTCACTAAGAGGGACAACTGGAGGATGTCCTAGGATGCGTGGCTAGGATGATTCAAAGGCCTTAGACTCTTATCATATGAGAAGTTGTTGAGGAACAAGAATGTTAATGAACTGAAAGCCATATTCCAATATACAGACATCTTTCCTATGCAAACAAGAGCAGACTGCCTGTGGTTTAGGGCAGCGGATGCCAACCTTTAGAACCTCATGGACCACCAGTTGGCGATCACTGGTTTAGGGAACAGAATCAAGACCATTGAGGAGTCATACCTGAGTTTAATAGAAGTGACAATATCTAGCATTCAGAGGTATGCATAGATAAAAAAGACTCTGCTGTTTTAAAATAGACTCTTAGCATTTCTTCTCTATTTTTGAGTGCATGGAGGACTCCAGTAACCTCGCTAAAGTTAGGCATGGCCACAGGACTAGTTGTAGCCAATGAAACCTAAGTCAAAACAAAAGTGTTGCCTCTGATACAAAGTGTTGTATGTAAATCAAGACTCTTCAGCCTTCTCTTTCCTGCCTCAGTGAACACTGAAGCCTGGTGTTGAAGAGGAGGTGCCAGCCTTTGTCTCTGAGTGACTACAATGATGAGAATCTCCCAAAATCACCACTCTGCCCTCCCAAACCCTGCCACACACCTACATTGGACATGTAACTTGAATAGAAACTAAAGCTTTGCTGGTTCTAGCCACTGAAGTTCATGGGTTTTATTATATTTGCATAACCTTTTCTATCCTAGCTAACACAAGTGCCTTCAAAATGCAATGATTCCTATGAGTAAGCATGAGCAAGGCAATCATTGTGTTCCTGAGACACACACACACACACACACACACACACACACACACACACATTTCATTCTTTGTCTTTTATTTTTATTGCTAACACTACATTCAGACTATTACTGGGGGGCTTAACTTAGTAAACTGGAATTTTCAACTTGTTCCAGGACTTCCTGGGAGACGATCCTAATAAAATAGGCTAAGCTCATTATCTTCTGTAACTCAGCTTCATGCTCAGCAACCCCAAAAACTTATGGATGCTGTCCACAGGGGACCAGCCAACGACGATTAGATAGTCTCTCTGCAAAGATTCTATTGCCACGTAAACACACACACACAACATTATCTATGAAAACCGAGGTCCACCAGAGACGTCAGGGCCAAGGTGATTTTTTGAACATGAACTTCTCAGTTTGGATCTTAAGCATTCATATTGGCAGACTATGGCCACATGTCTATGTCGGTCTGTGCATATAGATGCATTATTTACCTATAGCAAAGTTTCCCAAAGATGCCCTCGGTTCCATTTACAAACCCATAGGTTCTTTCAGGATCCCATGTAGCTAAATCACACAGCATGCCATCATATGTCCACTTAGTGCTGTTGTGAAAGTTGTTTTCTGGTGGGCAATATCTGATATGTTTGTACAGTGGTTTTGCCTGGGGAAGAAGCTTATGAGGTGATGGGAACCAGGATGTGAAAGGAAGGAAGTGTGTCCCTAGACTGAAAAGAAATGAAGAAATAGAAATAAAAAGTGATTCCAATGCAGGTGGGAGAGAGGAGAGAGGGGAGGAATGGAAAGGACAAATTTAAAATTATAATTAAAAATACATATTAATGTGTATATATGCAAATATATATATATATATATATATGTGTGTGTGTGTGTGTGTGTTTTTCTTTATATAGCAAACCAAACCCACAACTAATTAACTAGAGCCTTACTTTTGTTGTTCACAGGAGACCAAAATCAACTGTGTTCGTCTGGCTACGAAAGGTATGTTGGCATGTTCTTGTCTGTCTTCAGCCATTCTTTAGTCACTTAAGTATTCCTCCTACTAGCCACACAGGGAGAGTGTAGACAACAATGATGAGAAAGAATTGTTATATTTATTGGAATCATTTGCATCTACGCATTAATGTATACCTGACTGTGTATATATATATATATATTAATAACACAGTGCCTAGCCGGGACCGGTTTGGCTCAATGGATAGAGCGTCGACTTGGGGACTGAAGGGTCCTGGGTTCGATTCCGGTCAAGGGCATGTACCTTGGTTGCGGGCATATCCCCAGTAGGGGGTGTGCAAGAGGCAGCTGATCGATGACTCTCTCTCATCAAGGTTTCTAACTCTGTATGTCTCTCTCCCTTCCTCTCTGTACAAAATCAATAAAATATATATATTTTTTAAAATAACACAGTGCCTAAAGCATAGCAAGAGCTTAGAACATAGTTGTTGAATCAATGGATGGATGAACGGGTATGATAAACAGTGGGTAATATAAGTTTACTCAAATATTCTTCTGCTATATATTCTTGAGTTTAGATCCTTGTTTATGTTGAAATTTTTAAACATGTCTATTAAAACTGTCTTATGGGTTTTGTTCTTTATTCAATCGGCACATGCCTTTAAAAAATGAGGTGATTACTGTTGATGCCTTTGATAATGAGAAAAGAAACATGGCTTTGTTTTGTAGTTGGCATTTTCAACACTTCCTCCAAAAACTAAGGCAGCATTGTTCAGGCTCATCACTTTCTGTTTTCCTAATTATAATTGAATTGTCTGCCTCTTTCAATCAGTACATGTTTCTGTTTATTACTCTTTTTTTTTTTTTTTTTAAAAATCAATGAATAGTTTGTTATCATTTAACCTCTTACAGGATTGAATGGTTAGATATCAAGTTTATCTTTTTGTTATAGAATTGCTATTTTTAACAGCTATCCTTCTTGTATAAACACACCAAAATTGGGGCAATTCTATTTTGTTGCCTGTTTTTATTGATAGCATATATAGTTTTGTAGGTTGCTTCTTTGGAGATGATCATTATAAGTATAAATATAGTCATAGATATAAAGTATAGATAAAAACAATGACCCAACTATGTGTGTTATATATATGAATATATGGACACATGCACACATACAGAGAAAATGCACAGATATATTGGGAAGGGGAGACAGAGATTGAGACAGACAGAGACTGAGAGAAAGAGAGAGGGGAAAGGAGGGAATAAGGGAGGAGGAAGGGAGAGAGAAGAAAGAATATCTATGATTATTTGGCAAACATGTGTCAAGACCAGCCAAGCACCCAGCTTTTACAACCTTGAGAGAAATAAGATCAATTTGTAGGCAGAACAGAGAAGATGTGAGAGGAAGGAGAAGACAGGGCACTATTTGTGACAAAAGCTCATCCTGATTTCACAGAAGTCGTGAGAGGTCATCATGTCCCTAACTTGTTCCCTCTGGGGAACTCAGGCTACTAGACAGAAAGAAATGAAAAGCCCTTTGTGAGGAGGCCAGGAGAATTGATGGCCTGCAAGCAAAAGTGACACAAATCACAGTCTTGCAGACTTTTCCCTGAAGACAACAGATCATCTGGAAGAGGGACACCATCCATTGGGTAGCTTTAGAGCTCTAGGCGGCAAGCAGCGTCTGTGGCATCCAGCTTACCCAGGCAGCTGGGAGAGGGAAGGAACTTACGTAGAAACCCTCTGTGATGCTGCTCCATGCTTCCCCTCTAGCCTTAGATTTCTAGACAAAGGTGGGTTGATGTGGTCGTTCTGCCCACCATGGGCATGTGGGCATCTACGGATACCCTCTGAGACATAGGCCACCTAACAAGTAGCTTGTTGGAGCATATCTTAAGAATTGGGAACATGTGACTGGAGAAGCAGTAGGTATGTATGGGGACTCTGAGAGAGTACTTACCACTGTTTTCCTGGGACGTTGACGACCCACTGTGCGCGCACAGAGGCCCACCCTGGTATGCTGCTGCCGAGGCACCTTGCTGGTCTGCGGGAGAACTGAGTGGTCTTTAGAGAACAGAAAGCTCTCATCTCTCCTCAGCACCCTTAGGCTTTCTCCTCCTGTCTGACCTATATGTCACAGTAGAATATGTGCACCTGGAAGGTCTGGAGGGATAGCAACATGAATGAATGATACGTGCCCAGCTGACCTTGCCCTGGCAGAGCTTGGAAGAGTCAGGAGTCAGAGTGGCTCTGAGCAGCCACACCCGGGGTTTCCAGTTCATTGAGGGCCGTCACTGTGGCCCCGAGAGCAGGGCTCCAGCAGCACATGGGAATGGGGCAGGGAGCTGGATGACATAGCATGCTCTCCACCACGGCTCACGGAGGGATGCCCGCACAGCACCCATTGGATCAGAGGGCACTTGGTGACTGCAGAGCAAAGACAAGGGAAGGGAACCTGTGTTTGGTTAGTGTCGCTCTGTGCCTGGCATTGCTAATGGAGCATCTCAGTCAATTAAAGGCAAACTCCATCTAAATCCATGCCCTGCCCATGGAGACTCTGCATCAGGATCGAAGGCTAGGAATCGATATTTAACCTGTCTTTCCTGAATCAAATTTCCCTCTTTGTGGGTTTGCTGAAAACACTGTTCTTTTTAATAGAGGAGAAAACGATACTGGGCATCCCTCAGGCTCCATGAGTATGGGAAGTCCCGATGGCAGAATCTATGGGCCATCTGTTTCCTCCAGGCTCCTCCACCTCTGTCATTCTGGCACCTTCCTCACCTGTCTGCGGCATCCAGCCCCTGGCGCGTGAGCTTGTGTGCAGGCTCGAGGCCAGGGCTCTGGTGAGAAAGCAGCTGCCTGTGTCCTATCCCTGCCCGTGGTGACACCAGACAGTGTGTGGGGTTCGCTGTATGAGTCTCGCAGAACTGGAGGGCTGCCACTACAAACGGAGCATCTCAGAACACACACACGGGGTCGTTCTGACTTGACCCCAGGCTCCGCGCATCTTCTGTGACATGTCACACACCTTGTCTGTGGGTCCTGTCACTGTGCGTCACTCTGATGGAATGCTGAGGGTTGCCAAGAAAGGGACCTGCATTGGTCTTCTGTGGCTGTTGTGCCAGAGGCACACAGATTGAGTGGCGTAAACACCAAAATGTACTGCCTCTCCGTTCTGGAGGCTAGAAGTCCGACATCAAGCCTCCACAGGGTTGGTTCCTCCTTGGGGCATTGAGGGCAGGATCAGCTCCGGGCCTCTCCTCGGCTTCTGCTGGCAATCTTTTCAGTCCTTTGGCTTGTAGAGGACCACTCCAATCTGTGCCTTCATCGTCCATGGCATTCTCCCTGTGTGCATCTCTGTGTCCAAATTTCTCTGTACAAGAACACTGGTCATATTGAAATGAGGGGCCCACCCTACTCCAGTATGTCCTCATCCTATCTAATTGCTTCTGCAAGGACCCTATTACCAAATAAGGTCACATTCTGAGGTACTGACGGTTAGGACTTTAACATTTGAATTTAGGGGGGAGTCACTGTTCAACCCCAAACAGGAAGCATGCAGTCAGGGGCCTGTCAATGAGGTTCTCATCGGAGCCTCTGACTCTTTGCCATTCACAATGCAATCCCACAGCTTTCAAGTGTGTGCAAGGAGCAGGAACCAGCCCTGACAGAAGGGGGACCTGGGGTGTTAGAGGCCCAGCTTTGGCTGCTGCTCCCTTCAGAAGCTGAGTGAGATGAGGCTGCCTCAGGCCGAGGACCTCGGTCTATGGCAGCAGGACCCTCCTCAGACCTGACATGACCATGGAGCATCAGGTGCTCATCCAATCACAGTCTGGGGCCTGAACAGTCAGCACTTCCCTTTGGGAGGAGCTCTGATAGGGGCTGCTCTCTGTTAATCACTAATTTGCCTATCGAGTGTTGCCATTGCAGGAAGTTCCTAGCACATGTGGGCCCTGGAAAAACACTTGCTGAAATGAGTGAAGGCATCAGAGTCAGCATCTCCCTGCAGCAAAGCTCAGTGGCCTTAGGGTCCCCCAGGATCTTCCTAAAACAACATATCCCATGTAAAGCCATCCTCATCTACCCATTCACAGACTACACTGACACATGTGGGCCCTGGAAAAACACTTGCTGAAATGAGTGAAGGCATCAGAGTCAGCATCTCCCTGCAGCAAAGCTCAGTGGCCTTAGGGTCCCCCAGGATCTTCCTAAAACAACATATCCCATGTAAAGCCATCCTCATCTACCCATTCACAGAACCTTTGAACATAACTACCGCCAGTGGTTTGCTGATAGACCTGCTCTTTGTCAAAGAAAAGCCCTAATTTGTTGTCTTTGTGGATATTCAGGTGTAAATATCCCTTCACATTCACATTGTCAATGGTTTAACAACTGGCTAGCAAAAAAAAAAAAAAAAAGAAATCTTGAATGTTGAACAGCCAGCTCTAGACAACTGGTGCAAGCCAGCTCCAGCACACCAACACTTCTCCCACCATTTCTATGATCTGATATGATCCGATCTGACATGACATGACATGACATGATATGATAAACTTAAAAGTGTTTTATTTACTTTTAAATTATTTTGGAAATTTTATTATCATTATTATTATCCATGACTTTTATTTCCTCCATGGGGTCAGCTCACTCAGCCAGGCATCTTGAAAAGAATTTACGATTTTGTGGTGAGCCCACAATCATAGTCCCTGTCCTTAGCAGGCTCGCAGCCTAGTGTGGACACAGACATTATATGGATGCTTTTAACAGATAATTGTGACCAGTGCTTCCAGAGAGAATCGGGACTGAAGTTGTCCCATGTAGTTACGGTATGCATGCCCCGGACCATCTCAGGCTCTGCTTCTAGTGACTGGTGCCATGTAGGAGACTTTTACCTCCCTGCCCCAGCACCACTCTTTATCCATTAGCACTGAGATTGTGTGGTACCCAGAGCAAGGGTGAGATCTGGAGGCCAGCTGAATGAACCTCAAACTATGAGGGGATCCACCCTCCTGCTAAACACAGAGCTA